TAACCAATTAATTAGGAGTGATTTTAATGTCTAATAATTTGTTGTTCAATTGGAATGGAAGGAAGAGAATAGCCCTAAGATTTAAGAATTGAATTAAAAGAAAAATTTCTTTGCAAATAGTTCTGTCTTATCCTAGGGAGAGGTTATAAGATCAGTTCCATGAATGAGTTCATGGAACTGATCTTATAACCTTATAACTGATCTAAGATTGTTCTTTTGAAAAAGATGAAAAAAAATAATTACAATTAGATATAGTAGCTGCACAAGAAGATGAGAACCATTGAGTAGGATGCAGCTCTCCGAGCTCGAAATTGACTTTAAAATCGAAATCAAAGAGAAAGAATAAAAGTTTCTATTCGATTTAAAACCGATTTCTCAATAAATAGATGAATTGATGCATATGTATAACCCCAAGCCAATCATATGACTATTGGAGTCTTTGTGGAAAAGGATCGAAAAATATTACCCATCAATGCTGAGGTTTGAAGAAGGAACAGCAGAATTTAATAAGACTGGTGAATTTTGCAAGAGTTAAAATTCAACTGATTGAAGGTTGCTGGACAAACCATAAATATCTGTAAAAGATATATTAAAACAGTTAGGTGGTTGAGATTACTTTTAGCATGATTTAAAGGGATCCCAAACTCCCAACACATGTTGTGTTCATATTAAAGATAATGTTAAAAAAAAAGGTTTGAACCAAATTTTTTTGATTAAAAATAAATAATGAATGCATACCGTGAAAAACAAGTGTTTTTTTTCAACTACTCGGAGTCTTCAAATTATGCGTCGCAATCTACAGACTTTGGCAATTCCTTTGAAGCGCGTTTAATTCATAAAAGTTTCAGTATTTGACGTCATGATAGACTTTTAACAAAAGAAACTCTGGAAATATTTTTATTTATTTTTAGTCGAATTTTTTTTGATTATTTGTTTAGTTTTTTGTTTTTCTACTTTTAATATTTAAAAAGATATTAAAAATCTTAAATATTTATGCTGGTTCGTTGCTATAAATTGTTATTGCGCCATATATTTAATGTTTATAAATTATGAATATTTATTATCTCAAAAATTGTTTTACATTAATTACCCGTATAAAATTAGTAACAGCTTTTTTATTTGGTTAGACGATATTTTGTTTCAATTTGCTTTGCAAGTTCGGAAAGTCAAACGAAAAAAATTAGTTTGAATAATCACGTCGAAATATATTTAAAACAAATTATTTTAATGACGGGGGTTCTAATGTTTTTTATAACAAATGTAGGTAAAAAAATAAATAACTAAATAAAAAGTTCAGTATTAAACACCATAAAATAAAAGTTTAATAGTTTAATTTTCTTTGAATAAATGAGAATTGGAAGAGAAAATTGCTTGAAAATTTGTATTTGTTAATTGTGTTTTTAAAAATTTTTAATTTTTCATGTTAAGAGACAAATGCCAATTACAACACAAATTTGGAAATACCAAATATAATATGTTTTTTAATGCTCGTTATGATATTTTAACAATTTAAATTTCCATCTATCTTGAATAATTGCCTTTAATTAATGTGTTAATTATTGCGTTATTTAATAATAATTTGTCCGTATTTTGGTTAAATATTAGTTGTATAAAACGGGCAAAAATATACAAACTTCATGTTTTTTATTTGATGGTTATAAAATATTGAACAGTAAACTTATAATCAAAATTTATAATGCCGACTTGTGTTGCAATTAATTGTACTTTTAATGCAAAATCAGGATCTCACATATCCTTTCACGAATTTTCATATCTGATACTACTGTCAAGTGTTAAAAAAAAAGTACAAAAATACACTAAACTATTGTTTAGTGTATTCTTGTATTTTTTTTTTCATAATCTTAACAGGTTCTAATTGGTATGGAGTTGCTGACATTTTAAAAATTTCATTATCAAAAATCAAATGTAAAATAAAATGGTATTTCCTTTTTATCCGTATTCAATTCAGCAAATTTAGCAATTTAAATTAAATCAGCGTGATCAAAAAAATTT